TTTGAGGAGGCCCCGGGCTGCAAGGCAGGCCTGTGAGGAGGCCCCGGGCCCTGAGGAGGTTCTGTGAGGAGGCCCCGTGACCATGAGGAGGTTCTGTGAGGAGGCCCCGTGACCGTGAGGAGGTTCTGTGAGGAGGCCCCGTGACCATGAGGAGGTTCTGTGAGGAGGCCCCGTGACCATGAGGTGCAGGCCACCTGGGTGGATGCGACTGGGCAAGTGGTGCCTGCTTCTGTGTTCTGGAGCTGCACCTGCTGTCTTGTGGTCACACCACAGCTGATGAGGGACGAGGACGGTGTCCACAGGAGGGCACACACACGCTTTGGGTGAAAGAAACAAAAGTAGGCTCGCCTAGCTCCGGTGCAGCAGCCTGAACTGTCCAGGGGGCCTCAGAGGGAAAAGCTACAAAGAGCAGGGGTGGGGAGGGGACGGCCCAGCCTGGAACACGGAGGTGTTGGTGCAGGCCACCGAGTGCTCTGTGGGCCATAAATGCTCACGTGCACGTAGCACAGGCTCTGCCCACCCTGATCGTTCACCTGGGCATCTGAAAGCATAAAACGTGCTTTTTTGTTACTTTGGATCTGTGACGCTGGAATGCAGGTGTGCCCCTTCCTGTTCTCCTTGGCTGCAGCATGGCAGTGCTGTGTCAGGGACCGCTTGTGGATTGTAGCCACTCGACGCCTGGACCCACGATCAGGGAGCTGCCAGATAGATGAAGGCCTCTCTGGAATGCGGAACTGAGGGAGTGGTTTTTGAGAAGATACTGCTATTTGCCACCAAAGTTGGCGACTGCCTCTGGGGTCGTCCTGACAGCGTAGCTACTCCGTCTGCCTGCAGGATGTGTTTACGTGACAGCGGTCAGCCCTCTCTGCCCCCTGGGGGCTGAAGGCGTTGCTGCTGCCCTGTTGGGCATCTAGGCTGAGGCTGAGTGGGTCTGTGTTGAATCGCTGGGGAATCAGCATTTATGTGGCGTGGACAGGGGACCAGCTGGGCCCCCGCCCAGCACTGTCCCGCCCTCCACCCCCGGCACAGGGCCCTCTCCTGCAGTGCAGTGGGGACATTTGCTCTCTGTCTTTGTGGCAGCCCCAGGACGCCCGCCAGCATTAAATGATCATTTCCAAGTGGTCCTGCTGCCACCCACCCTGCGGTCCTTGGATACGTTTTGTTTGCTCCTTGCGTCCATGCCGGCTTTCTCCACCGCCCGGCCGCCTGGCGTCCTCTCCTGGCTCAGAGCAGCCAGGGGACTGCCCGGGGGCCTCCCACCCGACATTTCCCGAGGAGGCTCCCCAGGGATGCAGGCACCTCCACGTGTCGGCTCCCCGTTTCATTTCACCCGCTCTCATGCTTGTTCTAAGGCAGCAGTAACACTATCTTTGCATTCAGCACCCCTGTTCATACCCTGAGAAGGGCAGGGAATAGGGGCCCGTCCTTGGTGCTGAGAGGAGGAGCCCTCCTGAGTCCGTGGAGGACTTGGTCCTAGTCTGGTGGCAGGTGGCCGCTGAGCTGGCCGTCAGCAGCCGCAGTCATATGCTTGAAGTTCTTATTCTTCCACCCAGGTTCCACACGGGGGGATGAAGTTAGCTCCGCAGTTTTCTTACTGGCACTTTATGAGGTCACTCAAGGAGGCTCAGGTCCCAGTCTCCTTGAGTTAGTGAGCCAGGGTACATCCCAGATACATCCCTCTAGCGTCCAACTCAACTTATGGGCCTGGAAAGGGGCTGGCAGAGGTGAGAGCTGGGAGAAAGCTGCCTCCCACCCCGCAAAGAAACCACACCCTGGACAGCAGTTTTTTAGCAGACAGGAAGAGGTGTGGATCGTGGGCGGGGTCTTCACTGGAAATGCCGCTGCGTCCTAGGGTGCATGGGGCGGTGTTTCCCGCCCCTCTTCTCTTGGGACCTGCCACCCACCAAAGTGTCCTCCTGTCTTCCTGCAGGTATCCGTCCCCAGATCATGAACGGCCCCCTGCACCCCCGCCCCCTGGTGGCGCTACTCGACGGCCGGGACTGTACCGTGGAGATGCCCATCCTGAAGGACCTCGCCACTGTGGCCTTCTGTGACGCCCAGGCCACTCAGGAGATCCACGAGAAGGTGGGTGCCTGCTGGGTGTCTGCTGGGGCTGGTGCCTCTCTTCCTGCAGGCCCCAGCCCAGACCACACTCCTCAGGCCCTCAGGCCCACCTCCACTCCCGTGGTGTCCCCAGATTCACCAGCAGCCCCCAAAGCATGACTGCTCATCTCAGGGCACCCCACACACCTGTGTCACATCTTGGCTTATCGTCTTTCCCACCAAAATCCTCAGATGAGTCTCGGCCGGGGATCCCTATTTTGACTGGCCCCTCTGACCCTGTGGTCTGCTTCCCGTCACAGGTGCTAAACGAAGCGGTCGGCGCCATGATGTACCACACCATCACCCTCACCAGGGAAGACCTGGAGAAGTTCAAGGCCTTGAGAGTGATCGTGCGGATAGGCAGCGGCTATGACAACGTAGACATCAAGGCTGCCGGCGAGCTGGGTGAGGGGGCCGTGGGGGCAGGCGGGCTACTCGGGGCGTCCTTGGATACCGTGCACACAGTGTGGTCTTGGGGAAGAAGAGACCCCCAGGAGACCGCAGGAGCTGCTCTGGCTGTTTCAGAAGGTCAGAACTGACCCACTTAAATTCAGAATCACCTGCAGCCCGGCCCTCAGAGCTCACAGGTCTACTCACATACAGACCCGGTCAGTGACCTGGACTGTGGAAGGGCCAGAAGCCATAATGCACTGGTGGGGGTCTGCGACGGCAGGTACGGATTGTCCGCGGGCCTGTCGCGCAGGGAGAGGTGGAGGCGGTCACGCCCTGCTCGTTGGCAGGCATGTTTCTCCTCACACTGCGCCCTGAGAAGGGGGGAGGTGGGCATATGTGACTCAGAAGATTGGAAGCCAGTTTTTCTGGGTCCCCCATTTGCCGAGCTCCACCATCTCAGCCAAAGGGTTGGTGCTCCTGGCCCCTCTGGGAGACCTCGTCACACTGGGTTCCGGGTGCTTTTTGGGATCAGGAGAAGCAGTGGCTTTCTAAGTCCATCCGATGCCCAGGAGCCTGGCACCTCTGGCCCCATGCCCTCAAACCGAGTTTGCCTCCTCGTCACCAGTCAAGTTTGCTTCCAGCCCCGTTGCCACTGTGAACCCTCTCTGTTGCAACAAAGAAAGGATAAGAGGCTCGGGAAGCATGTGTAATATAGACTAAAATTTTCCGTTTTCTTTTTCCTTGCACAAACAAGAATATTTTTGTTGAACACAGTGCTCCTTTGTGTTCTTCGTGGAGCTGAATGCCCAAGTTTGAACAGAGAATGGGCGTGGTTGAATGTGCTGAGGGGTCTCACAATGTGCTTCCCAGCACACCACCTCACCTTGCCCAGGGGTCATCCTGCCCCTCCTCCCAGCACAGTGCTGGGAGGGTTCCTAGGGCCAGAGGTGGTTCTCAGGAGACTCAGGGTGGATAGAGAGGGGCTGGGGTGGAGTGCGAGAGAAACCAGGCCTTGATCTCCTCCCAGGACAATGGCCCAGGTGGGGCTCTGGGCTCCCCATTTTGAAACACGTGAAAGGCCTGTCGGCAGTGGGACTTTAAGTGATCCTAGTCCCATCTGATAAGGAGCTGCTGGGAACATCTGCTGGTCCCTGTGAAGGGCCCTTTTCAAAGGGGGTATCAAGAAGGAAGATGGGCCTTGATCCAGGTGTTCTTTGTCTCCAAGTATGCCTCAGAAATCCTTAGGGTCAGCAGCCCTTCTGTGTGAGGACTTACCTGGGCTGAGGACAGTGGGTGACCCTGCAGGCATGCCTTCTGTGATGAAGACTAACAGGGCTTCCCATCAGGCCCCGGAAAACTGGGCTCACAGTGTCCTGGGACCGTCCCTTTCGGCACACATGGGAGCGCTGGCCGAGGCCAGCAGCCTGAGGCTGATGACATGGAGTGGATGGCTCCGTGCTCAGGGCAGGGCAAGGCTCTGTCAACAACCTCCGCCCTGCCCTCTGCAGGCGGAGAATGAACCTGGAGCAGGTAGATCTGCCCATGTGACCGGAACAACGGAGAGGCGGGTGGGAAGTGGCTAGTGGTCAAATTCTTGACCACCAGTTGCTGTCGAGTTGATCCTGACCCATGGCCACCCTGTGTGTGTCAGAGTAGAACTGTGCTCTACTCTGATTTTTGAAAGCAGGTAGCTGCCAGGCCCTTCTCCTGAGGCACCTGTGGGTGGACTCAAATCTCCCACCTGTTGGTTGGCAGCCAAGTGCATTAACCATTTGCACCACCCAGGGCTCCAACGCACTGACAAGCAGAGGAGACAGCTGTGTGCAGCCCAGCTCCCCAGGGCCGTCTGTGGAATAGTCGTCCACAGGCCTTGGGCGCCACAGGAGGAGGTGGCTTCAGCCACGCTGGTGTTAGAAGCATGTCATCATGGCATTGGGAGAGTAACTGTGTGGCATGCTGTCTCTTGCCATTGGGGCAGGACAGCTCTCGGTGTGTCAGACTGTCCCAGGCGATGTCCCTGTCATCATTACAGCCAAACCCCGATGCACACTCTCCCCCATCCTTGGACTCCAGCTCTCCAGAGGGCACTAGTGCAAAGCAGCTGAATCTCAAAGGCCTGGGTGAAGGCTGAGTGGGACTCCAGGGTGAGCCGGGGCCAGGAGGCTTCCTGAAGCTGCAGAGACAGATCTGGGTCAGTGGCTGCATCTGCAGCAGAGCCCACACTCTGTTCTCCAGCTGGATCTTTTTGAAAGTATGGCCAGCCAGGCCTTTCTTCCTAGTCTGGGAGCTCTGCTGAAACCTGTTCAGAATCAGCAACCTGCAATCCTCTGCCGATAGCCGGGTGGTAGCTGCACGTGAGGTGCGCTAGCTGGGAGGCGAGCCCAGATCTCCCACATGGAAGGCGCGGATTCTACCACTGAACCCCTTGCTCTCGTTTGTCACTCCAGAGCCCAATAAAATGCCCTGGCTTTCGTCAGCTGGGTGTGGCGGGGTGGGCCTGAGGGGGAGCAACGACCTGCTCACAGGGGGTGCTCTCCTGACCCTCTGCCGCTGCCATGACAGCTACCTTCACTCTCTCTGAGCTGCCAGCCCTCCTGAGGGCTCACTCTTCAGGACCCTGGGGGTGGGGACATAGTGGCCAGATGCTCTCTGACCCCTCTCCCCACCCCCAGGCAAGAGACAGAAGAACAGGGCACCCCGGAGAGCTCAGGTGACTTCTTCTTGCCAACGGCCTCAGATGCCGACGTGCCCAGGTCACCCAGCCAGGGATGGCTCAGGGACTGCTCTGCCCCCTGCCCCGAGCCCTGGTGGTTCAGAGGCTTTGGCCAGCGGGCCTTGACCTTGGCTCTGTCTTGCAGGGATCGCTGTGTGCAACATCCCGTCTGCAGCGGTGGAGGAGACTGCCGACTCCACCATCTGCCACATCCTCAACCTCTACCGGCGGAACACGTGGCTGTACCAGGCGCTGCGGGAGGGCACGCGGGTCCAGAGCGTCGAGCAGATCCGGGAGGTCGCCTCAGGAGCAGCCCGCATCCGCGGGGAGACGCTGGGCCTCATTGGCTTCGGTACGTGTGGCCTGTCTGCGTCTGGCCCTTACAGTGGGCGGTGTGGCCAGCCCGACCCAACACCTGCTCCTTCCCAGCTGAACTGCCCGGGCACAGGGGCACAGGGTGCAGGGACCTGAGCAGGCGGCAGGGTTTGCCAGGTCGGGTGGCCGTGGGGCATCACTGAAGGATCTGGAGCCAGGAGGTGGCCAGGTCAGGTCAGCAACCTAGAAAGGTCACCTGAGACCACGAGCAGGAACACGGCTCCCTGGAGTCGACAGAGGCCCAGGGCGAGGTGTGGTGGCGGCGGCCCGGGAGCATCTCCAACAGTCACGGCAGGAAGAGGAGGGGTTAGCTTGCGGGAAAGCCGTCTGCTCACGGGGGTACATGGGGGCCTCAGCTGGTCACTGCCGAACCTCAGCCCACCACTTCCTGCCTCTGACCGTGAGCAAGTGACTTGATCTCTGCCTCCTGATGGGGACACTGGGGACAGGGCGATACGCTGGCACCGTCCGGGCTCGAGGAGGGCATGCGAAGCACCCCGGGGGAGTCGTAAGCCCTGGGGCTGGCTTCCAGAAATCCCCCCGAGCTGACCCTCAGCCTTCCTTGTTAGCTGCTATCGAGTTGGCTGTGACTCGGCGACCCCGTGTATGACGCCATCCTCAACAGTTGTCGGTCTGCTCGAGCCCACGGTTGAGTTGACTGTTGCAGCCACTGTGTGTTTTGAGTGCTTCCAGTGGCACAGCCCACTGACAGGCAGGTGGAGGCCTCAGCCTTCAGCTCCTCGGTGTTGCCAGACAAATGAGAGACAGGACTCATGCTTGGGGAGGGCCACCCTGCTGCCTCAGCCTGCGTCCCTGCTCAGGAGACCTGGGCGCCAGCTTGACCGAGGTAGGAAGAGGTGGGTTTTGTCAGGAGCGCACATGTTCCTGGCCCCCACTGTGTTGCAGGCATCTGCCTCTAAGTGCTCAGGTGCCTGGGCTCCCTGCTTACGCCTTGGGAAACTATTCTTTTTAAACTACAGGTAGTCCCCGAGTTACGACGGGGTTCCATTCTGATGTCTCTGACGAAGGTCAAATATTTTGTTTTTTTTTTTGAAGTCTTCATTATTATTGCCTTTTATTATTGGTGGAGCCCTGGTGGCTTAGTGGTTGAGTGTGGCTGTTAACCAAAAGGTTAGCAGTTCGAATCCACCAGCTACTCCTTGGAAACCCTATGGGGGCTGTGTCCTGTAGGGTCGTTGTGAGTCTGAATCGACTCGTCAACAGTGGGTTTGGTTTGGTTTTTTTTTTTTTATCGATATCTTTATAAATCCATTCTTTGTCTTTGGGGGTTGGCATGAGAATAACAACATCAGCAAATTACATGCTGCAACATTGTATGTAATACATGTTACTAAGGGTAAGATGTACAAAAAACGAAACAAGGGCTGTCATAAATGCGGTTCATCGTAACTCAGATACGTCGTAAGCCAGGGACCAGCTGTACTTCCGGTTTTCTTACATGGGCACTACAACTCGTCTTTGTAGAAGTGCAGATGTGGTGTTTAATGGCCGCAGCGCCCTCTAGCTGTCACAGGACGTTCTTCCTAGACTTGTCATCCCACTTTCCTGACCCTTCTGGCATATTCAGGCCAGTCCTCCTGGTTCCCACGTGCCCTCACTGTCTGTTACGTCACGGTGCCTTTTCAGATTTCTCTGTAGCCTTCCAGTACTGCAGCTGGGAGACAAGGGGCGCTGGCTGCTGCTGCCCTCGCCCTGTTAGGGACCAGAATCGGCCATTGTCCTAAAGGCTCCCCTGCAGCGTCAGCGGGGTGGCCTGGGCGGGAAGTCCCAAGCTTCGCCTCATCCAGGGCTGGTGCTGGGGACCAAATGAGGGCAGCCTCGAGGTGGGGACCGTGCACAAACGTCAGAAGGGGGAGCCTGTAAGAGGCCAGGACAGTTGGGTCATCCTGCCAAGGACTGGCTGTTAGTTAAGTCAGTAATGGGATGAAGTCATTGGGGGTCCATAAGTTTGCTAGGAAGCCTGATGGTTCAAGTAGAAGCCAGTGAAAAGACCAGGATTTGTGAATTTGAGAAAAAACCTCTGAGGCCGACCGCCCAGCCACAGGCAGCAGTGTGTTGTCCCTGAGCCTCGGCTTGGCGTTCCGGCCCTGGAGCTGCTCTCGGGAAGGCTGTGTTCTCACATTGAAGCTGCCGAGAGAGGCTGAGGATGTTCACAACGTGGCCATGCGGTGGGGTCCTTAACCCTGTGTTTCCCCAGCGTTGTTTCACAAGCCCCGCCTGCCTCTCTGGTCCCCCGTGGGAGGTACAGAGACTAGTTCCTCATTAACTGCATCCAAGCAGTGACAGTGAGGAGGGATGACATGCTGGATGGTGACCACTGATTGCCCTGCAGCTGTCCCCCTTGATCACAACGACCTTATTAAACCTTAGCTTCCACGCCGTGGTGGCTGTCTGGGTCATGCCCAGTTAGGTAGCTGTTGGGCAGAAGGGGAGAGAACCCACCTTCCTGGGAACACGCGTCTTCTCCCCTTCCTCCCTCGCTGCACTTTTCAACAGCGGTTTTATCCTGAGTCCTTCCCAGTGTGGCCCAGGCTGTGTCACTCGAACCGTTTTGTTTTCAAGCTCTGGGAAGCACAAGGCCAGGGCAGAGTGGGTTTAGGCAGGGGATGCCATGGAGGGGTCTGGAAGCTTCGTATCTGGTCTCATGGTGCCCATTTTTAACTCACGCACGCTGGCGAGGGGCAGGAGACCCATAGTGGGTTGGGGCTCATCCCACACCCAAGCATTGGCCACAAAAGCGAGCACCACTGCCGCTCCCCGAGAGCAGTTCCCACGCGGTCAGTGTGTGCTCTGGCCGGCCTGAGGCAGGCAGTTTTGATCCTTTCACCACAAACAAACGCAGCGGTAACGAGGCAGGATACTTTCCCCTTTCAGATACTGAGAGTGGTAAAGCAGTGAGGTTCATACTTCAAAATCCTGCTGTGCAAATCAAGTCGGGGGGGTGGGGGGAATAATCCTCACGGGAGGGTACTGGTGTGATTGTTGAAGCGGAGGACATGGGTTCATTCGAACGTCTTCCTAATTTTGTGCATGACCGAAAATGTCCACAATGAATGAAGTTTACAAACAAATCACAACCGGCCTGTCACGTCCAATACAGGACAGAGCACCTGTGGCCCCTCACCCGGAACACTGGTCCCCACTTCAACCCTGGTCACCTCTGGTGGCAGTGCCGGCCTCCAGCGTCACTAACCTTTGGCCAACAGGCTCGAGGTCACAGAGCGGGCGGTGGGGCTCTGAGCAGGCAGGAGGGGCGTGGACTCTCACCCGGACCCTCTGTCTCCGCACAGGTCGCACGGGGCAGGCGGTCGCTGTTCGAGCCAAGGCCTTCGGATTCAGCGTCATATTTTATGACCCCTACTTGCAGGATGGGATCGAGCGGTCCCTGGGCGTACAGAGGATCTACACCCTGCAGGACTTGCTGTACCAGAGCGACTGCGTGTCCCTCCACTGTAACCTCAACGAGCATAACCACCACCTCATCAATGACTTTACTATCAAGCAGGTAATTTGAATGCAGCTGCGCTCAGGCCCTGGAAGGTTCTAGTGAAAACTGACAGCACCACTGTGGGTGCAGGCGGGGATGGGCAGTGGTTTGTGGACACACCCGTGAGCCTGGAACAACCACGTCCCCCGAGACAAAGAGGGCGGGCCAGGTGAGGCCTTGCGCCACAGAACGAGCCGTGCGAAGCGGGCAGCCAGCCAGGCCTGGCCTCCAAGAAGTTGGCCACAAGGCAGGTGAAGGTCACAGTCCCCAACCTTCCCACCTGGTGTCCATCTCCCAGGATGGGCAGACTTCACCCCTGCCCTCCAACTGCTGCACACACATAAGCAAGCTGCACTCCTGGCCTGTGGCTTTCTTGGTGAAGCCTCGGTACAAAAGCCTGCTGATGAAGCGGTCATCCCTTTAACCGGCTTTTCTTTCTCCCTCTAGATGAGGCAAGGTGCGTTCCTCGTGAACGCAGCCCGCGGCGGGCTGGTAGACGAGAAAGCCTTAGCCCAGGCCCTCAAGGAAGGAAGAATACGAGGGGCAGCCCTGGACGTGCACGAGTCAGAGCCTTTCAGGTGGGTGTGCTGGGACTGCGAGGGGTTTGCAGCTCTAGCCTCCAGTCTAGACGGGAGCCTGCAGGGCCAAGTCCACACCCAACCATAGACTTTGAACTTGGGGCGCATTCCCAGACACCCTGGTGCTGGGTGGGCAGCTCCGCAGGCGCAGTGTACAAGCTCAGCTCTTCTGAGTACTGTGCTGGAATCTCACTCCTTATAGAAGGGCCAGAAGGTCCCTCAAGTCAACCAGCCAGGGAAGGCGGCGAAACGGTGGTGTGTCTTTGGTCTCTGTAGACATGCTTCACCTCTGCCCTGGAATGTTGATTCATCTTGGGCAGAGGCAGGCCTTCGATAGTCCACCGACGACCTCTGACACCGTTTTTAGGAGTTAGGATGAGTATGTGCTGAAACTCCCAAGCCCTATAAAACATGGAAAACGGCCCTCCCTCCATGGGCACCTGTGCAGCCAGTGTTCCCCGAGGAGTAGGGTGGCGGTGTGGTGTGCATTCCATGCTGCAGCTCATGGGCCTCTCGTTTTTGCATTCCCTAGCTTCGCTCAAGGCCCGCTGAAAGACGCACCAAATCTCATCTGCACGCCGCACACGGCCTGGTATAGCGAACAAGCCTCGCTAGAAATGAGGGAGGCGGCTGCCACCGAGATCCGCCGAGCGATCACAGGTGAGCCCCCACAGGGCCCAGGGTTTGTGGGGAGCCGCCTCTGCTCACACAACACGACGGGTTCACGCACGAAGGTGGTTCCAGGGGGCTCACCACAGGGTGGACTTAGTTTGTAGGGGTCACCAAGTCAGTTCAGTTCTGTGTGAGCTGGGCTGTTTGTGTAAGCTCTGAACTAATTTCAGGGAGGAAAGCAATTCCCTCTCATACTAGCGAGTGTTAAGCATTGCCAGCTCTGGAGGGTGGCCACCCAGAGGGAGGCAGGAGGGCAGCTCCTTGTGGTTCTGGCTGGAGACCGGCATTGAGGATCTCAGGTAGCTGGGCACTTGGACATTTCGTTTGGCCCCTTCAATGTACACAGATTCGGAAGTTTTAATACCAGTCTTCTCTATCAGTACACACGTTTTAGGTAATAATATTTAAGTCATTCTGACCCTTAAAAAAATGCCTGACTTCAATGATCCCACTGCAGGTCGCATCCCAGAAAGCCTAAGAAACTGTGTGAACAAGGAATTCTTTGTCACAACAGCTCCTTGGTCAGTAATAGATCAGCAAGCAATTCATCCAGAGCTCAATGGTGCCACATACAGGTGAGAAGAGGAACTGAATTTGTCTGCTAGTGTCCCTCCCTTGAGGGAACTTTTATCTACTTGTCTCTAAAGAAAAATTGGTCCTCTCGGGTCTTCCAATGTCCAGTATCCATGGAACAGCCAAAAATGTCCCCAGACATTGCCAAACGTCCCCTGTTGAGAGCCACTGCTCTAACCATCGAGAAGAAAGGTGTATGGGGATGATGGTGTGGGGGAGGGAGGGGTTGAGTATATTTTGTGTAATAACCACCCCACCCCCACCCCCGGCAAAAAAAAAACCACCACCCACTGCTGTTGAGTCAAAAAGTGGCCCTACTGGGCAGAGCACAACTGCCCCCTAGGGTTTCCCAGGCTGTAAGTCTTTACGGAAGCAAACTGCTACATCTTTCTCCCGTGGAGCGGCCGGTAGGGTTCGAACTGTTGACCTTTCAGTTAGTAGCCGAGCAGTTTTAACCACTGCCCCACCGTAGAACCCCTGAATGAAAGCTCTGACTCCGAGGAAGCTATGCGGTTTCCTCCCAGGTCACATGGCTTCATTCCTATTTCTGCTTGGCGTGGTTTATGAAAGCCCCACTCTGTCATTGCTTGAGCTCATCACTGCACCAGGCTCCCCTGCCCCCACCCTTTAAGGACTACCCTGGCACCGGGGCCGGATGACCCAGTCAGCAGGGTATGCGTGGGCTTACTTGTGTTTTCTCACTCATCTGTAGTGCACTATTTCACGTGAGTGAGCTGTCCCTGCTTGGCACCCTGAGACATGCTCAGTGGGTTCATTCAGAGCCATCAGAGTCCTCCTGGGCAGTCCTTGGGATTTCTGACCAGCCTAAGGTTGTGACTGGAGGGGGCAGGGGAGGAGCCTCTGTTCCCTGTTCCTCAATTATAAAGGGTTTGATGGCTCTGAGAGAAGGAATCCGATCATTCTAAAGCATCTGCCAGAAATAAGCTCCACTTGTGCCTAAGAAACGTCATGTCCTGGCGGTGGCTAACACGACGTGTCGTCTTCCACGCGGCACCTCGCCCTGGGGTGTGCCTGGAGTATGAAGCTTGCCCACGTGGAAGCATGACGTTTGAATGGCACCCCTCAGGTAGCCCCAGAGAGGGACTGGGTGGACAGCTGCAATCTGCACATCTGCAGGCCCTGGGGCACAGGAATAAGCTCCTTGGAAGCCATGCCTGTTACTACAGAATACTTCCTGCCTTCTGTTGAGTATAAGCAGTAAACACTTGGTTTTGTACAAAATGTAGTTTCCAAGCCGTCAGTCCAGCATCCATCAACATTCACAGTTGGTCTAGGTCACTTACCTTCCTGTTTGGTTTGCTCTAACTACAACCTACAATGTGAGTGGCCCAGTATTGTGCTTGAACATAGTCCCGGTTTTTTTTTTTTTTTTTTTTAGTTTTTTTTTAAGGATTATAGGTACCAGCATTTCATTTCAAAGTCTAGAGTTTGCCCCGCTCTGGGGGTAGAAAGGGTAACAAATGAGATCCCGTAAACACTAGCTTGACCACCCTGTTTTTTTTTGTGCTCAGCAGATACCCACCGGGCATCGTGGGCGTGGCCCCGGGAGGACTTCCTGCAGCCATGGAAGGCATCATCCCCGGAGGCATCCCCGTCACTCACAACCTCCCCACAGTGGCACACCCTTCCCAAGCCCCTTCTCCCAACCAGCCCACAAAACATGGGGACAATCGAGAGCACCCCAACGAGCAATAGCATAGGATGTCAGAAGGTAATCGTTCAGATAAACCTGGGACCAAGAGACAGTGAACAGAGGAGAACTCCGAGAAAAAGGATTGGACAGTCTTCTTAACTGACTCTGGACACTATGCATCATTGCGGTTGCAGTGTTAAAACTAAAAATGAGCTAGAACGAGACTGGGAAACCCGAAGGTGCCGTGCTACGGAAGGAAGCGCCGAAAGACTAGGGCGTGATCATTAACGACCCACTCCTGTTGTTGTGTGTTAAGTTTCTCATCTGTGCATCAAATCACCAAGAATAAATAGATCTTTTTCCTTTCTCAGTCCCTTGGGCACAGCAGGTCCAGAGCACCTTGCTCTCGATTGTTGCATCAAGAGTTCCAAACGTGAAAATAAAAAATGTAAAGAGGAAATCCCCACCCGACGACTCTAGTCCCTTCGGTCCACGGGGGCTGGTTACCTCTTGCTAATAGGAAGATTAAATTACAACAAAGCGGGGAGAAAACCGTTTGCCTGTCAGACAACTGCCGGCAGAGGATTGAAGACAGTACAGGTGCCTGTCCAGAGACGTGTTCCTCACAGCTGAACTGTGTACTGAGCGGGCGAGTTGGCTGTAAGTTCAGTAATACCCTCTGATGATGCAAAAAAAAAAAAAAAAGAGTGTTAAGTTTCACAAGCTGTTTGTACTCAGATATATTTTCTCAGTTTCAGATCCTCAGCTATTTTATTGAGTGAAAGTCTTGAACTGAAAGGGTTCAAGAAGAATAATGTTGCATTTCCTTATGTCTCAGGAAACACTTTTTATGGTAACTTGTCAGATTGTCTATAAACAAACCCACTTTTTTAGACATTGATAAAGTCTTCTTTTCTTCACGTGATATTTTATACAAGAACACTTCAGATGTGTTATTAGATGTGACTGATTTTAACAAATCCTGTTAGATTTGTATCAACTAGTTACATGTTATATTCATAGTCTTTTGTGAATCATCACCTTTTTGTTTAAAAAGATGGCCTAGTTTGAGCCTTTGTATAGGTACATTCCTGTTTTTGTGACAAAAAAAAAAAAAAAACTTTAAAACTGTCCCAAACAGAAAAATGGCGATCAGAACTCTGTTTTGTTTTCGTGTGCGTTCCCGTTACTGTACTTGTTTATTGTAAAGGTGGACATTTAGCGTTCAGTGCAGTTTTCAATAAAAAGTAATAAAAATTTCTGTTAAGTTTTGAAATTCAAGCACATCTCCCCAATGTAAAAGTTCTCTGAGATGTTAAAAGGCAACTGAATTTTCAGTTGGCCAACTTCCAACTTTTGTTACTTAACATATTAACAAGAACTTGCTTTCTATCTGCCTATTCTATAACCAGACTCAGTACTGACAATTACCTCATATGATCAAGTTTAAATCAAAACCTTATATATAAGTCCTTCTTTACCAAATCATGCCATCCTTAAGATGAAATACTGGGTTATAACTAAATCAATTCAAGAAACAAAGTTGGTCAAGTTTCAGAGTTTTGATTTTAATTTACCCAAAAGCAAAATTACCTGCTCAAGCATTAATGAATGAAAGGGGGGGGGGTGAATCTCAAACTTGGGGGAAGGGGGGTAACCTAATAATTGTATTTACAAAGAAGTGTTCAAAAATAATTAACATCAGCCATTTCCATAGATTTAAAAACTTCAGTATTAATTAACCAACCTTTCTAACTAGTGGTGGCTACAAGTGTCAATTACATCCAATAATTCCAGGTACCAAACTCCCCTTCAGCCCTTAAAGAAAAACAAAGCACACACACAAAACAGCCTCTTAAAGTGTCAACCTCTGACTGACCTTGTCTCCGCTCATTTTAAGGTGCTCCCACCATCCCAACTCTGCCATGAAAGATTCTATAAAAACCACTCCACAGGGAGATAGCGCTCATAGTTACTGACCCAGGGGGCAGAAGGACAGTTCAAACATTCTCTTCATAGCAAACACTTAAATGGACGGTGAGGGAATGAAAATGTCTGCGAGAAGGAGAAGCCAACCGTACATGAGCAGCAGTGCTGTCCTCACATCAAGCAAGGCTGGCACAGACGCGCCTGGGAGTCAAAACCACAATCCATGCACCCATGGTGCGCCTGGGTTTTGTTTAATTACGCCTGGTGGCCCAGACAGTCCTTTGGGAATGATTCAGTGTAGACACTGACCTCCCCACCCCCCAGGAAGAAGAGGTCAGAACACAAAACATCACACTAATCTCCCCAGACAGGGAGCCCGCGGGGCTAAATCTATCAGACAGTGTACTAGCAGGAGTCAGCCAAAAGATGTTCGCACCTGTCACCTAACCACATAAGCTCATCTTGGGACAAAAATTATGGCTGTTTAATAATTCAAGAGCTTAACATAGCATTGATTCATCCAAAAATTTGGCTTTTAACAGCCAGTCTGCTCTGAATACCATTTGAAACCCATCCTTGTTGATGGGAGTCTGGAACCTAGGAAATGAAGTCATCTGTAATCCTTTCCCACAGGGAAGAATATGGTACCTGTCAAACTAGATGTGCTCAGGGTCACTGGTCATAAATAAATAAATAAATAAAGTAGTGAGGCAACTCAAGGGAAAGGCCACTCACCAGGCCACTTTTTGGACAGCGACAGCTGCCATGTGGACGGCAGTGACAAGATACTTTTCCCTCATAACACTGCTCTTTGGACTCCTCAATTGAGAGGGCAGTTTATGCTTAACAGGCTGACTGCCCATTAGGGAATTATTCCTACATGGAGAAAAATCACTACAGATGCTATACTAAGCAGAACAGTAGTCTCCTAAAAACTTACTTGCTTAGTATTGACCAAAATGAAAGCAGACGATAGTCAATTTGTAAGAAACACCTGGAACTGTACCATCGGCCATTACTAAAACATGCCAAAGTTCATTTATATGGAATCATACTGCAAATAATTTTTTTCTTCCAAGTTTTAGCATGCAGCAAAACAATCCTTTGATTCTGGGAACACCTTTCACTGAGCGTTCAGAGAGGGGAGAAAGAACTAAAGACATCATGGACATTTTTCTGTTTTTAGTATTCCAGCATTAAATGAAGTGCACATTTCAATACCATCTCAACAGAATTTAGAAGAAAGCAAGAAGCAAATATTAAAAGGTTTTCACAGCCTTTTCATCAAAGGGGAGAAAAAATACATATATAATGCCATATATATTATATATAAATGGCGTCTTTCCAAATTTCTTGCCACATCAAGTCTACAAAGAACTTCTCGGGACACAGTCTTTTTGTGTTCCTGAGATGACAGGTTTGAAATTTTTACCCAGTATTGAATGTGTACCTGATGTGGTCAAATAGTATTTTTTTACAAAGTTTTCTAAGATTGTAATTTTGGCCTTAAGAACAGCCACAAATAACCAACATGCAAAAGTTCTCAGAGTACACACTGAGAAATTCATTATACAATGCATTTAAACCATCCTACTGCATTTTTTAAATCTTTTATTCTGTACTGAACTGGTATTCCCACCGGCCTAAACAAAGGCACACCCTTCTTCTAACAGGATTTGTTGAGAGCAGAGTTGCTAAAAGAAGAATCTGAAGACCCTCTGCGATGGCAATTTGGGATCGTAACATTTTCAATAAAGTCCGAGTGAGCAAATTTCACACAGTTCGTTTAGTTCCAAGTGGGCCTACTCCCCAACTACTTCCCTCAGCTGCATCCAGGGAATGACTATTTCCAAACAGACGGCTGCCAGAAGTCTGGAGTAAACACCCCCATTTTAGGTCACTCTTCCAAACAAATACCTAAATACTGAAAAGGGGCATATCAGAAAACTTAAAAAGATGAAATAGTAATATAAAAAAAAAAAAAGTTTCAAATCAAGGGAACAATGACTATAGGAAGGTCACTCAATAAAAAATTCTTAGCTTTTCTTGCAGTTTGTTCCTTAAAGATCTGATTTTATTTTATCGGGCACAACAGGAACTAAATTAATAAAATAAAATCTTCTTAATTTTTATGTTTTACTGTGGATAATCTGCACAAAAAATTTTCAAATCTCTAACGAGCTCTAGTGGTACTCAGTATGTAAAATGGATCTTTAAGTTAAAGTTGAATGCCAAGTTCTACTGAAAAGAATCTCTCAAAGGAACAAAGAGTCATCTACCATGTGCTTTTGTAAGTGCCCATGCTGGAAAAAAATCTCAATAATATGGAGATGCTGGTACAACTTTCCCTATTACACAATTTCTTACACAACCACATGCGTTACGTTTATAGACAGATTTACAATTTGAAAGGAGGCAAAAAAGTTCTGTCTTAATAAAATTAGTTTTTTACAAACTGTAGTCCAACATTCTCTGTCTCCTCCCACACCCGGCAGATGCACTACCCCGCTGGGTGTGGGTCGGGAAACCGCTTCCCAGCAGATCCCGCCAGACTGGGTTCATGCCACTCCATAACACTGCTTGGAGCACCACACTAACTCCAGGCCGTCACAGAGCCGATGCCTTCCGCTCCGATTTCTTCACTCATCTTCATCATCTTCGTCTTCCTCCCCATCAGACAGGGATGTGCAAGGCCGGATCTGTCGGTAGCGGTCGAGCCATTTCTCTACCATCTGTGTGACCAGGGGGTGATTTCGCCGACGTGAGCTCCTCTGCATTGCAACGAGAACCCCGCCCTCGGTCACACAGCAGTCCAGCCACTCCTTCAGCAGCTTCTCTCGCTGCTCCTCGGTACCTAGCTTTTAGGGCAGGGCACAGAACAAGAGGGAAGAAGACTTAGCAGCCTGATAGGATGACAACTAATGAAAAGGTCGAAGCCACAATTCCCACGTCTGTGGAAACTGCCTGACACAGCTTCACCCTCTTGTCAACTTGATGAAAAATCGGTTTGATGACTGTTATGGTTGAATAAAAAAAGACATCAAAGGGAAGCTATCGGAACAAGCTAGACAGGAAGGGAACTTAATATGGCAAATCTGAGAAACCGATCCCAGCAAAGAGTGAGCCAGAAAGAATCTCAACTGCAGACAGATGACAAGGTGAGTACTCTGTGGATCATTTTTTTCTCTTAATGTCAAGGTTATAGAAGTTTTATAATTACTACTATATTAAAGACCAATCACTTTATACAAACATGGGTTTTCTAAGAGCATTGTTTCGCAGACGCTCACCACCTCCCTGCCTGGTCTGTACCAGCCCTCACCCCCCCGTGTCTGCCACAGCTTCTTACCTGTTGCTCCTGCCACTGCCCAGGGATCTAGTCTAAAATTAAGCAGCCTGTGTTTCAGAGCACAACTGGCTAGTGGCTTTCCAGCTCACCACCCAGAGTAAATGCCAAAGCTGGCAACGGCCTTCAAAGCACTCTTTGCCACCTCTGACCTTGTGACCTTCCCTTCGCCGTGCCCACCCCCATAAGCCACCCTGGCCTGCAGCTCCTTTGCACTTGCTGTTCTCTCTTTCCAAGATTCTGCAAAACTCACTTCTCTTTCAGGTCTTCTTGATTCTCAAGTCACCGCCTCAGTGAAGCCCTCCCCAAGGACCTTCTTTAAACCACAAACCCCACGACTACCCTCATCCCTTCCCTACGCCCCAGACCTTTCTGTTTCCCCTTAGCACTCGCCGCCCCAAAGGCAGAGCCAGGGATTTGGGCTCTAGTCCACTGCTCCATTCCCTACCCACAGCACAAGCTACTGTAGTTCTGAAAAGGTAAGAAGCCTGTCTGACCATATTTACAGAAAGTGGCAATTACCACTACCAAATCCAAACATTTAACTGGTAGTGCAGTTAATACCACACCTGACAGGCACAGCCTTACTACTAGAAGTAGTTGTGGAAAAACAGGCTTCTTACCTCCTGAGCAGAAAGGAAGTGCACGTGGAGCAGCTTCCTCTCACTGTCAACCAGAGGCAGAAATGTGATGGTGACATCGTCATCTGTATTCAGGTTAGCACCAGCACCTCGGTTGCCATAGCCGTCATTCTCCATGGCAACCAAAGCAGAGAAGTGGCCCCTCGTGTAGCCCAGAGCAATCGGACTTTTCCAGCAAAAACTCTGTTCCCACAAGAGAGGCAAATAAACACCTGAAAACGGGAAGGAAGAGCACAACAGCTGTGAGAGCAGGCTGCCCTCGCCACACCGACATCCCACCCTGGGGTCCTCCCTTACAGTTGGCTCCTCAGGATGTGGCTGCACACCACATCAGAACAGTAAACAAGGGCCCTCAAACACTCACACAATGGCTTACCTTGAAAACGGGTATATCCTAAGGTTTCACCCCGGAAACTCTTATAATATTTTACTCCATAAACTATAATTGGTCGTCTAAGAATATGTGCAAGTACAAAAATGTGTGTCTGTTCCAAACTTGCTCCAGGCTGTACAGAACACAAGAAAAAAAGCAATTTAACTTTAAAATAATTATTACCATCCTTGGAAAAATGATGTGTGAAAAACAATACCATCTCTGAGTACACTATCTTAAGAAAAAAGTATCAACTTAAAGGAAGCACTTGACTCCTCAAACGGCAAAGTCCAATAAAACTGTAATAGAAATCTACAAAGTCTATATACAGGCATCCTTTACTACCCAGACTCAAGAAATAAACAGAATGGATAAATATTTTGAGATAGTTCCCCCCACCCCGCTTAATCTCACTATTCACTCTTCGATCTCAGGAACCAAAAAGCATACTTTTATCTAATCGCCTTCTGGTTAAATCATCTATGAAAGTTAGTACCGCCTACAACAAAGTTCTCTCAAAGTAAAAAGATGAGCTTTGTTGTTTCACACACGCTTAAACAGCAGTATCCCTTAACTCAATACTACAACTACAGTGACTGAGGGCATGTGTCTCAGGTGTGAAACAGCCACTGAACTCCACCCAGTGGCAGAAGGGACAGCTACAGGGCAAAGTTCAAGCCTCTACTTCCTTCTCAGGGTTCAAATAGAACTACGGTGCTTTCTGGAAAGACAAGGAGTGGCTGGTTGTCCATACATCTGAACTTTACAGTTTGGTATATTGAACACATTTCACAAACTAAAACTAGGATGAAATCAAAGTCTAAACGGGCCAATCTTACACGGTCCCGTGTTACAGGACGGCTTCATTTGAGAAATACGAGTTGTCAGCAACCCTCAGGAAAGTTCATTCCCAGGTTAATCAGCAGTCACTCCTGTCAACAGTAATTCGTTTGAGAGTAAGCAGACTGCACCTTCCCCGCTGCCTCTGCCACAACGGATGCCGCCTCCTCACGGGGAGCCTTCTGAAGAGCACCAGCACCAGCAGAAGAGTGCCTACTGGCTCAGTGATCCCTTATTTGCCCACTTCAGGAGCTAACCTGGAGGCAGGGTAAGACCACCTTCCTGAGAGGGCAGCATACATGAAGAAAACTCTGGAGACTATGTGTTTACCGTCATGACAAGATTATCTTCACTCTGACAGGATTTCCTTTCTTAACATCTGACACGAGAAACATCTGTGGTTTACTCTCCCTGTGCTGCAGAGTGAGGACTTGCTACGCTCACAGCTGACAAACAGCGGTCACAACTGGGACTCAAGTCATCTGATGGCAAGTCAAGTGCTCTCTGCCTTGTACCCCACTGCCTCCAACGTGGTCTGCTCATGGAAACAAGGGATTTAGACCATGAGGCTAACTTTTCTCACAGAAGCAACTTGCCCTGAAGCATTCTTACCTGACTAGCCAGAGAGAGTATGAATGCCCAGTCTTCTTGCCACTGTTCTTCCCTCAAGGAAAAATGTAAACCAAAGCTCTGAGAATACCAAGACTCCCAGTCTTTCCAGCGTGTGTAAAACCTAAAAAAGCAAAAGAGTAAAAAACAAGTCTTTTATAAACGGTACATTTAATGTACCAAGCATTTATTTAATAGTCTTTAAGCATTCATTGGAAAAGAATTTCATCAATTTTATCTGGCTTGCAATATTTTTTCAAATTAAAAATGCCTCCAATCTGCCAGCAGACATCTCTTAGCATATCCTCAGCCAGAATTTGGCTCACACCCCACTCAATTTTCATTCAAAGCTGCACACACTGGTGATGAAAACAGTTCATTTCCATTGTGTACTTAGTGGTTTACACACTCAAAAAGGACCCCTCAAAAAACAGTCATCTGAAATGGTGGATACAATCAAAGACACGCCATTTCACAATGAATCTCCAGTATGTCCCTAGGGATCACTGCACATAGGACAGGCGGGAAGTGCCCATGTGTTCGTAAGAATATCAAAAGCACTTCCCTGAGATATCTTTCCCATAAATAATACAATTTCACTGATGATCATCTAATAATTCAAACAAGCAAACCAAAAAAATATCACTACAACTACAAAAACGATTTATATCTAATACCCCTCTAAATACCTGAATCTAGTAATTTCTTTTTCTTTACATCAAGTATAAGGTTACCCAAAACCAGAAATAATTTTGCTCAGAATTGGGGTTCACTGTCTTACAAACCAAGCCAAGTCATGACCTCTGAAGTGAGGAGACACCTAGCCTATTGGTAAGACCACATTTCTCTAACTTACACTAGAAAAATGTTTCATATCCAGGTAACCGAGAATTTTTTTATCATGGTGCCAAATGTTTTCAAAACATGGATATACCTCTTTGAAATGTCTGAACATTTTAGCACACCAGTAACAGAATATATTGTTTTGAGAAGTTTCAGTGAGAAATCTCATTAGACATGGAAACTTGTTTACAAACTGAGGGATGCATGCAGTTATTAGTTACTGCCTAAAATCATTTTATGATGAGACAGCCAAGTTGGCCAGAAATTACAGGATGATCACACTCTCCTCAAGAAGACTACTGAATAAAGGAGTCCAATAAAATATACTTCTAAATAAACATGTTCAAATAATCACCCCACCAAACCAACACCTAAACTCTGAAGCTATCTGGCTCACTGAGAACAGACAAGCCAAATAAGCAAACCATATCTAGTAATAAAAAGGATTATACAGCATGAGCAAGTGGAATTTATCCCAAGAATACAAGCTTGGTTTAACATTCAAAAATCAACTCTATGTTCACGGACCGACGACTCAATATTGTCAAACTGACAATACTCCCTAAATTAATCAACAGACTCAATGTAATCCCTTATCAAAATCTCGGCCAGTCTTTTTGCAGAAACTGACATGCTGGATCCTGAAGTTTAAATGGAAATCCAAAGGGCCTAGAACAGCAAAAACGATCTTAAAAAAAGAACAAAACTGGAGATGAACACTTCCTAATTTCAAAACTTAGTACAAAGCCACACTCACAAAGACGGTGTGGTACTGCCACAAAGACAGACACACAAGGCCAATGAAACAGGACTTAGATCCAGATACAAACCTCTGACCTTTACAGTCAACTGACTTTTCACAAAGATGCCAAGGCAATTCAGTGGGAAAAGAAGTCTTTTCAACAAATGGTGCTGGGTCAGTTGGACATCTACATGCAGAAAGATGAATTTAAACCCTTAACTCACACCATTAACAAAAATCAGCAAAAACTGAATCACAGACCCTACATGATAATAATCTTAGAAAAAAACAAAGAAGTAAATCTTGGTGACCCTGGGCTAGGTAAAGATAGCACAAGCCATAAAAGAAAAGGAAAAAAAGAAAAAATATATAAATTGGAATTCATCCAAATTCAAAAGACACAGCTGATAAAACTTAAAAGACAAACCACAGACTGGAGGAAAGTATCTGCAAATCATATATCCAATGAGGGACTTGTATCCAAAACATATAAAGAACATCTACGAATCAATAATAAGACAACCCATTTAAAAAAATAATAATAATAATAATAAGACAACCCATTTAAAAACAGGCCAAAGATTTGAAAAGATACTCCACCAAAGAAGATATAGATGGCTAATAAGCACAAGAAACAATAAACAATATCATCCGTTATTAGGGAAATGCAAATCAAAACCACGAGAGATACTAATTCACACGTACCAAGAATGGCTATAATCAAAAAGACACTTTGAGCCAGAAATTCCGCTGTTAAGTATCTACCAAATAAAAACAAAAACCCATGTCCCCAGAGATACTTATACATGGATGTTCACACAGCATTGTAACAGACAAAAGGGAGAAACAGCCCCAATGTCTTTCAAGAGGGAGAGAGACACAAAATGTGGTATATAGCCATACAATGGAATATTATCTGACAATAAAAGGAGCAAAGTACTGATACATGCCACAGCACGGATGAGCCTGGAAAACATTATGCTAAGTGAAGGAAGCCAGTCACAAAATATCGCATATCGTATGATTCATTTATAAAAAATGTCCAGAAACGAGGAGCCCTGGGGGAGCAGTGGTTTAAAAGCTACGGCTACTAACCAAAAGGTCAGCAGTTCAAATCCACCAGCCCCTCCTTGGAAACCCTACGGGGCAGTTCTATTCTGTCCTACTGGGTCGCTATGAGTCGGAATCAACTTGACAGCAACAGGTTTGGTTTTTTTGTTTGGTCCAGAAAAGGCAAATCTACAGATACAGAAAGTAAACTAGTGGTTGCCAGAGGCTGGGGGTGAGAACTGGTTTCTCTTTGGGATGATGGAAATAAGATTCAATTGCGGTGATGGATGCACAGTTGTGTAGATTTACTAGTAATCACTGAACAAGTGAATTTCATGGTATGCAAATTACATTTCGAGAAAGCTGTTTAAAAAAATAGAAAAGACAAGAATTAACTGTAATTCAGGCATTTTAACCTTACCAGTTAATATTTTACTATAGTTAAACCTACCAGGGTGAGCAGAGACACTGTGTGCATGTATCTGGGGAGGGCAGATTAAAAAAAATATTGTTTGTTCTACTTCTAAACAGCATTTGTGGCAGCTTACGGTGAAAAATGTAACTATAATACAAAGCTACAGATACCTTTACCAAAATCATAATAATTAATTTTAAAATAACTGTCCTGAGGTTTGTTTTGTTTTTTCTCCTACTTGCGTTAATTACCCCCACTGGGCTCTCTGAGAAACTGGATTGGCATGTCGATTGACAGCAAGTAGAATACTCAGTCTTGAGGACTTCGGTCAGCTCAAATCACGAGTATCCAACAGAATAGCACAGTTACCAACACACAGAAATAGCCTATCCTGAAGTGTTGGGAGGAAAGGGTTTAAATAAAAGAAAGTTACTTTCTTGGTTCTTACTAGATATTCTACGTGACTTAAGAAAACGTCTCATCCCAACTCGTTTGTATTATGTGCAAAGCGCATCTTAGCAGGAAGCTGAGCACTATATGTTCGCTCCTCCCCTCCTAGTCTAGGATGGGACCCAGGACTGCTCACCCCTTCTCATTCTACCTGTCACAGTCATACTAAGCCCAGTACACAAACTTGTCACAACTCAACACAGGCAAAAGCTGAAGTGTTGTTACCCATTAGGGCTAACGTATTTAACCCACGTCACTGAAGCCTAACTCTACAGCAACAATGCTTTCTCTGTCCCCACCCCACTCCCAAGCTACTGTACGGACATCTCTGTTATCACTGCAACCAGTGTAGCTTTCTCTGCCTGACCTGGAAACACCAGGCAAAGAGTCACAGATGGCAGGGGTCAGGAGGTGGTGCCAAGGTACACTTGGTTTTGGGAAGCCTGACAATATGCCGGCTCTAGATCTTACTTCTGAAGCACCATCTAGACTCAGGTCCTCTACTTCTCAAAAATCTGCTGGAAGTGGTAAACAACCTTTACGGATCTTTCAGCCTAGTTCCCTCTCCCGCTAATGGCCACGCCCCCATCCAGGCCATTTACTCTCTCAAATTAACAGTTCTCTTTTTCTCCCTACCTCCATGCTAGACTTCTAGGATTTCAAATGACCCAAAACCACCAAAGAATTCCAGTCTTAATACAAAATTTAGTGACAACTCCAATCCAGATCACCCACCACCAGCTTTGAAGAACAGGCAGCATAAGTACCAAAACTATTATTACTAGCCACGAATGTCTTTTTTTTAAAACTCTGAATTAGACAAAAGAGACACCATCTGACGAAATTTACCACGCACTGTCAACACTGCCAGGATTTTATGCAGAGGAAAGACTGTTGGGCTGCCTTTTTAAAAGAGGACTCACAAAAGTGGTAGATCTACCACAGTCCAGATCTGGCCTTCAGTCTTCCAGTCTTGAGAAGCTGGACTTACCAACACTCAGAGAACAGATCAATCTTTCTGGGGCAGATGCATATTAACCACACTAACAGACCTGTAAACCACAAGGCCAAGAAACCACTATCACAGGAACTGAAGCACTCTCTCTCTGTGTGCAGGCAGGTCCACCTAGAACACAAAGCATCATCAGGATGTTCCCTGGTGAGCACAGTCAGATCAAGAGGCGTCAGATGGACTGAACGTTTAATGGCATCAGGCCTACCCAGCCTGAGGAACCCACCTCATAATAGGAACGGTCTTGCCCATACTGCCAGATCAATCCACAGTATCCACCTCCACTAAAAGCCACAAAGTACACAGGCTACGAAAGTCCACTGCTGGACAAAGACAGAATGACTAAACCATTCATTTGTAGTGACCTTCTTTAACCTGATGACACATCCAATCAGCTTACATCCAGGCCTGCCGAATGACTGTGTATGTTTACAGCACGATGCTTTGAACTTCCATTTAGCTCTCAAGTAATCCTACTGCTCTCATTGACAAATTTTAAGACAGCACTTTCATTCAGTAAGTACAGACTGAGTACTTACTACGTGCCAGGCTGTTGCACGCACTGGATCCTTCACAGTGAAACAAAATCCCTGTTCCCATGGAGTTTATAGTCTAATGGACTTCATGGAATCTCTTTAACTACTGACAACAAAATCCACAGGAAGTAAGTGCTCAAGAATGACGAAAAGATGCTAGGGTAATAAGCGTATTTGGAGTAGGGCCATTAGCATTACTGCGTAAACCTTCTGTTAGTTATAGGAGAAAATAATAACATTTTTATTCTGATGTAGGGAAAATCGTATGAACTTGAAAAGGAGTTCTGCTACTTACTAACTTTACCAATGGGCAGTTTAGTCTCTTTGAACTTCAATTTTCTCATTTATAAAATAACTAAATGAGATAATGTATGCACAGAACTAAGGAAATGCCGCAAGTCAAATAAATGTAAGGACTGCACTGTTGAATGTTATGGATTGAAATACGTGCTGTAAGCCCTAACCTCCATGGCCTGTCGTTATGCCATTGGGAATGCGCTGTCTTTGTTAACGACGTAGGATCAGTATAGGGTGTACCTTGAGTCCATCTCTTCTGACGTACAAAGGAGATTAAACTGCAAGCTAGCAAGCAGAGATGGGGGAGAGAAATGCCAAGCCCCATGACGATCGCCCAGGAGCAGAAGCTCAAAGAAACCAAGACCTTTCTCCAGAGCCAACAGAGAAAGCCTTCCCCTACAGCCAGTACCCTACAGTTGGACTTCTAGCCTCCTAAACTGTGAGAAAATAATTTTCTCTTTGTTAAAGCTATCCACTTGTGGTATTTTTGTTACAGCAGCACTAGATAATGAAGACAATTCATAAACATGGTCACAGTTTTCAGTGACTGATACCTCTGTGGGTGAATCTGCAGCTTCATGTCTGTCATATACTTGATTGGATTCTGGAATAAATAATTAAGTAGGGCTTTTTTTAGACAGCTGGAAAAATGTGATTATGGGCTGTATACTGGATAACTGAATCAATGCTGAATTTCTCAGGCGTAATATTGGGGATGTGGTTGGTAGGAGACTATCCTTGTTCTTCAAAGATGCACACTGAAATACTGAAGGGTAACGCACCACGATGCCTAAAATGACGCAAAGGGGAGTGTCTGGGCAGGCAGACAGGCACATACGGCAAAAGGTTAACAAGGGCGAAGCAAATGAAACAGGTGTTACAGCCAGTCGCACTGATTTTTTTTTTTTTTTTAAACTTTTCTGTGAGTTTGAAAATTTGCAAAATACAGAAATATGGTCTCTTAAAAGACTAACTCCTCAGGAAGAAAAAAAAACTCATCATACAATTTCAACATAATTGCTTAAAGCCAAGCAAAAATATGACCTCCTAACTACTTAAACATACGAACAAAGACCTTGCTGATATTTAAGGCTACTACAACTTTCAATATTTCCATTTTACAACTCAGCGAACAGGTATAAACACCGCTGAGACGTTCGTCAGTGTCTAATGCACAAAATCAAAGTTGTTTTCCCCCCAGCTTCCCTAGAGAACGTAACTGAGACGAGAAGTATTCCACCGCTAAGTAAGTGATCCAGCAAGTGCACTCCTGGACTTAAGTAGGAATGAATGCCAGCTCACCAATGTGAACAGTCGTGCAGGCTGTCATGAAGGGCTTTCCGAAGCACTGAGTCCTTGTCATAAATGCCCCAGGTAGCTTGGAGTACTGAGTCAAGTAAGCAGTCTCCTGCAGTCCGGTTCCAAAGTGCATACAATCTACTGTCCAAACGTGTAGCCAATTCCAAGGACCAGTTTATAATTGGAGATTCTTCTTCTAACTCTAAATGAGGAATTTAAATAACATGTTCATATTCCTTAATATTTAGCTGGGGGAAGAACCTACACTCCCTAAACATATATAGGTTTATATGTAATTTACTAATAAACACCCAAATAAATTCGACCAACAGAAATATAAACCTCTTGCGTGTGTAGTTGAAATATCTTGTGACTCTAGAATAACTTACTCAACTTTCAAATTCTTTACAATTTATTTTCTAAAAATGTTTAAAATAGAGATATACTCATTCTGAAATAGGAAGTAGATAGCGCCAAGGTTTAAAAACTTTGATAGCTACACCTTTGTTCACTCTATCACAGTTAAGAGTTCTTTACGAGCATTTTTTAAATCCACTTGACAACTACACAGTGCAATATGACAATGTTCTTAAAGACTTTTTTTCAAAATCTAAATTAATAATAAAGGAAGATGACCATATGCCACACTACTTCGAAACTTAAAAAACAAAGCAGTAAGCTAACTGATTAGATGCAAGGTAGATGACATGCTCAATTCCCTGCTTACCTTTCTGCACATCTCTATCAAGCACCTCATCAAATAATTTTTCTTGGACTGTTGGGGGCAAGTCTTCAATATCTACAACGAAAAAGCAGACTTGAAAGATCTTCCTATGCTTCATAACTGAATAAACCTGACATGAGCATTTAATAGTAACTTCCTCTAAAATAACTCCCTTCCAGCTGAAGACTGTCAGGTAGCTTGCCTTAAAAACTGTGCACATAAAACTTGCATGCACGTGTGTGTGACGTAGATGACTTCTCTGTATTGCATCATCTAAACTTTGATGTATCTAATAACATTCAGACCAATAATTACGCACAGATTTTTATTTGCTCTCTTCTCGCGCTCTCAAACTGTGTCCAGGCCTGTGATATGAAGACTTTAAAGTCCTCTTATAAAAGTTAATCCAACATTAATTCTGACACAGGGGTCTGTTTTTGTTGTCTTCCCCAAATTCTCTATGCTCCATTCAGTTTACTTAATAGAGTAACCTAGAGATAAGCAGCATTACCTTTAAAAATAAAATTTAGAAAAAAAAAGGAAATTTGAAATAAAAAATCTAATCATCACTTGGGGTAAGCATAAACATATATACAGAGAGAGAGAGAATTTCAAATGAAATTTGCTCCAATTTTAATTGGCTTAGCTATTATCTCCTTCCATTTGTAAATGCCCAAAAACATTCAGAACTCAGAAACTGTTTTCAAAACGTTTGATGTTTGCTGCATTTATTCAATGTCAAGTGGTAAAAAGAGTCCTGGAAGACATTTTCAAGTGAGTTGAATTGAAAAATGAAGTTGCTTCACAAATACAATAAAAATGAATTTAATGAGTGAAGAAAGGAATAATATTTTCAAGAGAATGCCAGTATCTGTCATTCAAATAATCTGACTCTGCCTATGTTCAAATTCTATCTCCTAACACCAGGTAACCAATCCAAACCAAACCCATTGCCATTAGGTCTACTCTGACTCATAGCGACCCTACAGGACAGGGTAGAACTGCCCCATAGGGTTTCCAAGAAGCGGCTGGAGGATTTGAACTGTTGACCTCTTGGTTAGCAGCCAAGCTCTTAACCATTCCGCCATCAGAGCTCCAGGTAACCAACAGCTACTTAATTTCAAAACAACAGAGGCATGAAAAGGAAAAGTAGACTGATATTATTCTAAAATAAAACCTAAGAGAAAAATTGATGTGTAAAACTGAGATTTTTTTAAATATCTGAGGCTCACAAAGAAAATCTGTTACTATCAGCTCCTGTCTTCCTTCCAAATAACTTAAAGCATTTGTTTATGAGTAGCCGTATACTGGTCGATTCCAGTGTAAATAGGATAGTTAAGTACTTTTAAGAAGCAAATACTGTAGCTGAGTTACCTGCTTTCTGACAAAACTACATTTGTCACCCATACATTAAAATACAACTGTAGTAAGGTACAAATTTCTTTTCACATTCAACTTTGAAGTTACCTGCTGGCAACGTAAACGTTACAAGGTCAGTTAGAAAATAGCAAGCAAAATCGCCCTTTCTCTGATGGAGCGAGGCAGCTATCTCCCGCCGGATTTGCTCTGTCAGCTCTGGACACACCATTGCTGGAATACACTTTGCTGCTTGTTGAGACACCTTAAATACAGAAAAGAAACTTTCTGCATCTCAGTCATCAGAAACAAAAGCAGAAAACAACAATACTTAAAAGGCAATTACCAAAATTTTTCAGTAATTCAAGTTTTGTTGTTGTTGTTTTAATCTAAAAATGTACTTGGTGTTACTGCAAAGTTACACTTCCCTTAGCAGTGGAAGGAGCAGCAGTACAACTTTTCAGGAAAACAGCCCTAAAAATGTTTTACCCTTTGACTCGGTAATTTTATCCCAGGGAAAGACTCAAAGATGCACATAAAGATTTACATAAAAGTGTGTTTTTCATAAAGT